CCATTGGGTACCTTAGGTACCGATCCATGAGGTCATGTTTGCTCGGGAGGCCCGACGTGGCCTGGTAGACGGTGTCAACTTAAGCCGGCAGTTTACGAGTAGCCTGCAGCAGGGTCTATGCCTCAAGCGGCATACGGTTGTTAGTTGGATCTGTCCGGAGTATGGCTGTGGTATCTACCAGTACCAATCAAGAGAAATGCGGTTTGGTGGTGAATTGATCTGCACCTGGCGATGGCGGTGTGGCTGAGAAGCTCCTTTCCCAGCCACGTGCCATGGTTCTCATTGGCAGACAACGGTGAGGCCGCGACCCGGTGTGGCGGATGCCAGAACGCAGATGCGAAAAGGCACCGTACAATGTTCTTCAGCTTCTCCCCCATCCCCCCGATTACCTTATGATTAATGTCATATTCCCCTTCTTCCTTACCCAGGTTGTATTTGGTTGCCTGACATCAACCTCGCAAATGAGTCATTAGTCGAAGCCTAAAGATTTGATACCTACCTACTACGCTTAGATCTTTGCGCAGTTACCGCTTTCTGTGATTCAGCGCCTACAAATACACCGCGTCTTCGTCGGTTACATCGGACCACGTGTGCAGGATACCCTTCAGGTCGAAGTTATTTATTATTTTATTCTGGGACGCGCTCACGGAAAGCTCACGGAAACGTATATTATGATTAATAGTCTTCCTTGACCGTGTACTCAGCATTATTACTACTATTACCCACCTCGGCATAGCCCTCGAATCGAGTGGCGTTGCTGCCAAGACTGATTAGTCATTAGTGGAACTGGATGCCTTGTTGTTACCTGAAAAATTCGGCACCCCCCCGTTTTCCTGAGGAACCTACACCCTTCAGTGTGCCACTGTGAAGAACTGCAAGATCGACAACTTTACTTGTTTTTTTTTTATTATTATTTGATAATATCGCACTCATCTTTGACTTGTGATCCTCACGAATCTCGAACCTTTTGAAAGCAGCTACCATCTACGAGCGTTCCGTTCTTAGCTCGTCCTTCATCTATCCAAACAACCCGCCTCATCCCAATTGACGGCGGGGTCCACTACGATATGGGAGACGGTTCTGATTATCCTAGCCCACGAAGCGAAGGTCCCGGCGGGCCTGCAACTGTCCTTGTCACTGCCCAAGAACCTATCCCTCCAGCACCAAAAATGACTGATCAACTGTCTCCAAATTTTATGGAAGGAGCTCGTCCGCGACTGTCGGTGAGACGGGCGCGAGATCCACCCAAGAACGCTGCAGGCCAGATCTATTGCGACCATCCTGAGTGTCAGCACGCGCCTCCGACGTTCCGCCGCCCATGCGAATGGAAGTAAGTTCTTCTCTCATACACTCCCTTGATTGCTGATCAAGCTAACCATGGTATCACCAACAGCAAGCACATGGACAAACACGACCGCCCTTACAAGTGCTTAGAGCCTGGATGTGACAAGATCCAGGGTTTTACGTACTCCGGTGGCCTTTTGAGACACCAGCGCGAAGTACACAAGAAGAATATAAATGCGAAGAAACCTCTGATGTGCCCGTATGCCGACTGTAATCGCAGCACAGGCAACGGATTTACGCGTCAAGAGAACCTAAAGGAACATCTTCGACGCCGTCATATGCATACCGACAATGGGCACGCGTCGGAACTACCTATTGTGCCAGTGCCGGAACTGGATGGTACCACGGCCCTGCCAGTCACTTCGCCTGTCAAGCGCAAGCGCGACTCGATCGATTCGGTCGAAATTCCTGACGAAGAAGAAAACGGCGTGGACCTACGAAATGAAATCAAGAGACTACGACGCGAAGCCCAAATGAAGGATCGGCGGCTGGAGGAGTTGGAAAGAATCGTTGCGGACTTGCAGCAGAGAATTCCGCAGACTGCAGTCTCGCAGGGATAGGTGTCGGATTGTGGTCTCATGAGAAATATCAGTTTGCAATGCATGTTATCTCCTCCACAAGTTGACATGGCTTTCTTTCTCTTTTCATTTGGCTTTGGTTTTTACCCCTTTGTTACTTTTGCTTTGCATTCCACGGGCGTTTTCACATGCAGAGTGCGGGCCTTCAGGTTTGCGTTCAATGTTTACAACATCAGTGGGTGGTTTATATGGATCGATCTACATCTCAGAACGCGTGGTTTACAACAGGCAGCTCTGAAGAATCTGGCGTTTGCTCGAGGTTGATAATACGGACCCGGCGGTGTTATTATGGTTGTCTCCCTTTCTATTCCCTGAAATATACCCAGGCGTTTTCCAACCCATCTCCTTTGTTAGTCTCAACCACTCCAACCTTGTCTTTGTATTCCTTTTCTCCCTTCTCCATACGACATTGTGACATTCTGAATCGTGTCAACCAGTGCCTGTACAAGGTGAAGGATGTATTGCCGTTTAGTGTATACGCATGGTATTTACAAGTACAGCTGAACAAGCTTCGCTAGTCACACTATCTGGCAGGGCTTATGTTGGTCTTCTCAAGAAGTTCCGATGGGCACACGCTGATCTAGTATGTCTTGTGATTGTAATTGTCACCTCTTTTGCTTACAAACTCTTGATTGATTCCTTGTCACAAAATTTTCTTTTACACTTATTCTGTAGTGTGTAGGTCAGATAAATTTGTCTTTCACATGGAAAGTACTAAGAGTAGCCTTGACCATGCGATTATCGGATCAAGAACAGGCTAGTGTAGAATAGTCCTGCGATATGTGGAAGACGATTCGCCACAACAATGCTCAACGGGCTTTAGTTGGTGGGCACAATCACTTATGACTCCAAATGACTCGTAAGTGACCAGGCTTTACGGTCTGACTCAACCCCTGAGGTATCGATGCGCTGCGCTCGTTCCTTTGGGGACTATTCGCAGTTGTTACTAGATCTGAAGATGGATCATCTTATGGGAAGTCGTATGATAGTGTCATGTGCAGTAAATGCGTGGGGGCTTCCAGCCGTAGTATGGTATGTTCTAGATGGAAAGAAAAACTGCCTTGCTTCGTTCTTTGATTACTGATGTTCCCAACGTTAGCCATGTTCGCAATGAAGTTTTATGTATATACACAAAAAACCGGTTGTGTGGTACATAGCTGAGTCAGCCCAGATTTATGTTGTTGCGGCCTGGCGAGCGACTTCGCTGCCTGCCAAACAAAAAGCATGGGATTTAGTTCACAGTCAGAATGGCGTATGCGATTACCAGACAAGGATCCATTAGTACAATGTTGGCTCTTTCATATCTGATACACTAACACAATGGCCTTTCAACCTCATATGGACATCAAGTTTAATGCAAACAATTGATGCGCTCTTTAAACCCCTCATAAATTAGACTTGGATCGTCCGCTCAAAACTTTGGGCGTCGCTCATGAAGATTCCACTCTGTACTATCGCTTACTGGCACTACGCGGATTAGCCTGTTCCTGACCGGTTCCTGACCGAGTACGACTTATTTTTGAAGCATTTATTCACCCGTCCAGACTGAGGCCCAAGAAAGCATGGCCCATTCAACTCCTTTCACGGAGGTCGCAATGTCCCACCAAACAGACTCTCCTTATGTTCGGACTCAGCAATATACACGAGGCGCTGGTAGACTCTTCCAACAACCGGCCGTCCCAATGCAGGCCGAATGGGGTCTCCCTCATGTTGACCCCGTTACCTCTGCTACTCATGTTTTCTCAGAAGGAGAATTTGTCCCATACGAGTTCTTCAAAAAAATCGGCCCAGAGTGGTTCGTTCCCGAAGCAGAAGGAAAGGAATGGAAGTACTGCATGCGCAGAGAGGCCCAAAAGATTTTACCATTTCTCTACCTGGGTCCATATGCCTCTTTGAAAAACACAGCCTGGCTCAAAGCCCAAGGGTTCACTTTGCTTTTGGCTATTCGAGACGAAAGGTTTCCACACGTCTGTGGGGAGAACGCAGCTACTGAGCTGGGGATTGAAGCCGAGACCTTTGCAGTCGCACAGACTCAGGATTTTGTGTCCATAGGGCCTCGTCTGATTCGAACAATCAATGACCACATCTCATCCTCGCATACCCCAGTATCCAACGAATGGCCATACAAGAAGGTTTTGGTATTTTGCGAGACTGGGAACGGTTATTCGGGCTTAGCACTAGTTGCGTACTTGATGGTAATGCTCAACTTAAAGCTACACCAAGCTTTAGCTGTGGTTCATGCGCACCGACTATCCGTGGAAGCAGATGAACCATCGAGGCAAATGTTAGTTTCATTCGAATCGATCATTATGGCCAAAAGGAACGTTGAAGAGGTCAGACGAGCAACTACAGAGGGTGCAGGCTTGATGGTTCCTCCCCAGACTGTATGTAAAAAGAGGAGTTTTACACATCGCAATGAGGATGAGGCTATGGAAGACATCATGGATATGGGTGCAGATGAAGATACAGCCTCTGATAGAAAGCCTGTGGCTCCATTCCAGGACCGTTGAGGATGGTTTGACTAGAACAAAATATTAATTTTTCTTATGATGACTTAGTTTGGAATGGTATTGGTCATCATAGAATTCGTTAGGATGACGTTGATTAAACACCATTTCCCTCTTGATAATTTGTTCTTTCCACCTTCTCTTTTTATTTCTTTGTACATTACATGGTCAATGATTCTAAGCATCTTTCATGCCCCAGGGTACTGATTTCCAATCATTAATCACCTGAAGTGACTTGCAAACCACTGAACAATCAGCATTATCTATTCTATTAAACTCTACAAAGCACATTTGATAGATACAATTCGTTGTCTTCAGCCTAAGTCTAATCCTTCCATTATTCGGAAATTCTTTCCCCTTCTTGTCCTATTTTCTCCAGGGTTCCAGGCCGACCAGAATTGATTGACTCAAACTGTAGCCATGATCTTTGTTGTTGTTCACTATCCCTGAGGGGAAGGGCCGTTGACCCATTCACTGTATTGCTTATAACATTTCATGTACATCTCTCAGTCTGTTCGCGTCCAAAATCCAACCTGCAGCTAATTACTTACAAAAGTGGAAAACAGCCACCATGCGACTCCGTGAGAGTATCCGCCCTCCTGAGCGCTATGAATCAGAGCACTTTTACACGTCGCTAGGTCAAAAGTCACTTCGCCAGCACAGAAATCCAAACCGCCCTCCCTACATCGATTTCAACCCCAACCTGCCTCCTGCTGTCTTCCCCACTCTGGACTTCCCTCGCCCAGCGGTACCAGAGGCTGGCAAATGTGCACAGAGCAAGGGAGAAGAGACCAACAGTGGAGGCACTTTACAGCACGGTCGCGAGCAACCTGAGCATTATGGGGAGGACAAGGATAGCAGAGAGGCAGGCGTCGATCTCGAGGACATCCCTATCAACCAGGTCGAGAACTACGTTGCGAGCAACGGTGACTTGAACCCAGTTTACGTCGAAAACATGGCTACGATGGCTGCTGCGGACTCGTCTGCGAGTGATGACTTGCACAATGAGACTGATGACATCGAGGCTCATGATGAGGATGAGGTGAGCTAACCATACACTCGATGTATCGCAGCTTTTAGTGGCCGGCGATGTACTAACAATGTTCTAGTCCGCGCATGAGATCCCTAACCCAAAGTGGAGCGATTTATGTCCTGGAATGCAGGTGGAAATTTTCGACAATCTTCTTCAGTGCTATACTTGGAAAGACGCGTGTTATAGGTTAAATCTGACTGGAGAAGATCAAGAGAAAGTCGGAAAGCATATTTTTGCTCGTAATAAGCAGATGGAACAGGAAGAATCTCAGATGAAAAACATGCGAACGAAACAACTAAGATCGCTCTTGAAGATTGACAACAGTGCAAGACGTCTCCAGGATTCGCACCAGTTTCTTTTCCGCAAAACCTCTCGAGACACCACTAGTCATCTGCGAAGGAGTAATAGGCCAGACTATCTTATGTGCCATTTTAAAGAGGTTATGAACGCTAAACGGTATTTGCGCCAACAGGGCCTAAGCCCTAGATATGCTGGGGATTGGGGTAACAGAATCAGCCCTACTCATCCCTCTGGAATCGACCAAGATCATGATATGAGCAATCTAGGGAAGCAGTTGAGCTGCGGTCAATACATGGAACTAGCCACAGATACGACTGATGATGATGACATGATGGATTTTGCGTTCGATCATAAAGCTCCGACTGCGATCCCGGATAAGCAGTCATTCATTAACACAATCGGGACAGCAGCTGTTGCTAGCCCGAGGGATATGACGCTATGCAGAGGCAACTTAAACACAGCCCCAAGATGGTTGAATCTTCTTTACCAGCATTCTATACGGAACTACCAGCCAGCTTTTCGGGAGAATAAGCTTGTTTGTCTCAAAATCGGTACCGAGCACGCCGCCCAGATTCATAATACCCAGCCGATAGCTTGCATTCAGCCAGCGAAATTGGTAAAACGTTTCCCTCCCATTGATGCTATTTACTATGACCCCCCTTCATGGACCCCTGTAATTATTCAGAATCATGGAGCAAGAACTAATCCAACAATGCCTCCAATACCTAGACCATCTTTGGGCGGCGAGCCACAGCCTCTACCGAGAACAATGGGTGGAAATTGGTCATATAGCTCTTTCGAATCGCATCCAACAACATCTTCTATGAGGTTCCAGCAAAAATTGGAAGAGGCACGTCTTGAGACACAAAGGGCGAGAAGACGCGAAACGCAGCAACTTGCAGGTGGTAGAGGCTATGAACCATATTTTACTCCGAGGCAAAGCCTGAAGGCATAAGCCGGTCATCCTCAGCCACCACTGGGAGATTTATGTCTCCTAATAGCTTAGGTGAGCTTTACGGTGCATCGATGCAGAGTCAAAGTGAAAGCTCTTCAAGAACGGTTACTTCTCTTGGGACCTCTCTTTATGACTCTACGGAACGGAGGGCTTCTTCTGGAACTATGAATTTGCCAAGGATCCCTTCCACTTCGTACCACGGCGGAGATCTTCAAACTCAGCCCTGTGTCACGCATACGATGCAAAGCGACGAAGAGCAAGAAGGACTGAGATGTGAAGATGAATACTGTACTACTGATGACGAAGTGGTTCTTATACCTGCAGGAAATCCCCACTGAACGAAGTGGCGATTACAGCCACATCTACATGCTAGCTTGCAGACAACGCTGGTATTCACACGGCAGATTTCACCAATACTCAGGATGGCCAAATAAAGGAAACCTGTTTTTACTTCCCCTTTTATTTCTTGAAGATCTTCAACGAATTTCACCTGGAATGTGTTGCATACTCGGAATTGGGAAGCCGCCGATATCATTCGAAAGGGTCAACAAACATGAGACCATTACTTACTATGAGGATGACATTACAATGGACTTTCTAGATGTCTTGGGTTGACCTTCCATATTTTTCTGTCCATTTTGCTAAATACAACCGCAGTCAAAAAAAGAGGGGAAAAAAGAAGTTAAACTGCTAATACTTTCAATCGCCACAAACAGCTTGAAAGAACCTAGAACACTCCATTGTACTAATGTTGTAAGCATCTTCTGCATGTTCTAGAAGCCCACTAAAATCAATCAAAAATTGGCCCGTGCGCTGACGCGAAATCTGCGCGTCCGAACGGCAGCGATTAGATTGCAGGCACGGCAAGATGACAAAATGCGCCAGTTAGCAACGCCGGGCACAACCTCTCAAGCGCATGATCTTAGTCGGGTATCTTTAGGTTTCCTTCATTTATAGATAGTTATACAAATCCAGCCGATATTCTTTTTGCCCCTTTTCTGATTTGGTGCCCCTGCTTTTATTGGATTTGCGCGTGCGCCAGAGGGGCAAAATCGACCACGATAACGACCGCGTCCATACGCCAAACGTACATGATATGAAAAGTGTTTGGAATTTGACTATTGGAAGATTCTGGGATCCGAAACAAGGAAACACAGATATGTCAAACTCCGATACGCCGGTTGAGACTGAGGGCATGCGGCAAGACTCAACACAGCTTTCTTCGCCGGTGACGAACGACGCCGGGGAGTCAGCTCCCGAGAAGATGGATGTGGAGGAGGAGAATACAGAGGAGATGGATGCGCAGGCTAAGGCGCTGATGCATTTATTGAGTACCAGTGAAGTGCGTGTTTGATCCTCGTGCGTTGGTAATGGAAAGAGCCTGTTGCTGATGGTGTCTTTTGCGGCTTGAATAGGTTTTCGTCGCGATCATGGCGGATAAGATGAAGAAACAGCAGGAGGAGGCGAAACTCGAAGCGGCGAGACAGCACGAGCAGAAGAGTGCGGAGGCGATGACGAAGAAGAAGCCCACCACTGAGCCTGCTGGGAGACGCGCGACGCGCACGAGTGCGAGGCAGAGCGCGGCGAAGGAACCTGTTGCTGAGGCGGAAGTGAAGACGGAGGAGCAGGGTGCTGCTACGAAGTCGAAACGAGGTCGGGGCAGGAAAGCTGTTGCTCCTGCGGCTGCGAAGTCAAATACCATCTCCAGTTACTTTAAGAAAGCCGATGTGCAGGTTCCCGAGGAAAATCCCACCGTTCAGGAGGCTCTGGAACATGCTGCGGATGAGTATGAGGCCAATCCATCTGTCTTGGGCGGACAGGATCTGGTCGCTACCCAGCAGCCGGAACTGATCACCGGGGGTCAGATGAAGAAGTATCAGCTGGAGGGATTGGAGTGGTTGAAGTCGCTTTGGATGAATGGTCTGTGTGGCATTTTGGCCGACGAGATGGGTCTGGGGAAGACTGTGCAGGCTATCTCCCTGCTTGCCTTCTTCAAGGAGAAGAAGATTTCCGGGCCGTTTTTGATCGCGGCGCCGCTTAGTACTGTGAGTAATTGGGTGGATGAGTTCGCTCGGTGGACGCCTAGCATCAAGACGGTGTTGTACCATGGAAGCAAGGATGAGCGGGCGGAGATTCGACGGAAGATGATGAATATGAAGAATCAGCGGGACATGGATTTCCCGGTGGTTTGTACTTCCTATGAGATATGTATGAATGATCGGAAGTTCCTTGGGCAATACCAGTGGCGCTATATCATTGTGGTATGTACTATGATGCTTCGTCCCCGGTTTGTTGCTAATGAATGTACAGGACGAAGGACACCGCTTGAAGAATATGAACTGTCGACTAATCAAAGAACTCCTCACCTATAACTCTGCAAACAGACTCCTTATCACGGGCACGCCATTGCAAAATAACATAACCGAGCTCTGGTCGCTGTTGCATTTCCTGCTGCCCGAGATCTTCAACGATCTTGATAGCTTCCAAAGCTGGTTCGATTTCTCGTCAATGTTGGACAGTAGCGACAAGACGAATGTTATCGAGCGCCGAAAGCGTACTCTAGTGTCCACGATGCACTCTATCCTGAAGCCGTTCCTGTTAAGGCGTGTCAAGACTGACGTCGAGATGTCGCTTCCTAAGAAGAGAGAATACATTCTCTACGCACCTCTGACAGCCGAGCAAAAGGATCTCTACCGTGAGATTCTCAACGGCACAGGCCGCCAATACCTCGAAATTAGGGCAAGAGAAAGATTGATGGCCAAGAACGAGCGTCTAACACGTTCCGGGAGTGTGAAACGCAGTATTGATAGCAGCGGTGACACCACACCAAACAAGAGCCTCAAGTCCAGTCGTTCTTCTACTCCAGCCAGCACGACCAGTTCCACACGCAGGCGAAAAGGACCTCAAAGTTACAAGGAAATAAGCGACCGTGAATTCAACTCGAAGCTGCGGAAGCTTGAGCAGGGGATAGAAGACGATCTAGACATCGAAGGCCCAAGCGAGACCGAACAGGAGGAGATCGAAAGAGCAAAGACTTTCAAGCTCGCCAGTAAGTCCACTCTGCCGCGATGCGTACATATTGTGAGTTTGACGCTAACGTTTTCCAACAGAGCAAGAAGTAGCCCAAAAGAAAATGCAGAACCCGGTCATGCAGGCGCGACTGGCTTGTAATTCTCCGCATAACTTCTACTGGCCGTGGAACGACGAGCCGGTCGACAAATCACTAATAAATGCATCAGGGAAGATGCTGCTGCTGGACCGGCTTGTCACACGGCTTCTAGCCAATGGACATAAGATTCTCATCTTTTCCCAATTCAAATCACAGCTGGACATTCTCCAGGATTGGGCCACTCAACTCCACTCCTGGAACTGCTGTCGTATCGACGGCGCAATCAGCCAGACAGACCGGCGAGCGCAAATCAAAGCCTTCAACACCGACTCCGACTACAAGATCTTCCTCCTGAGTACACGAGCGGGCGGACAGGGCATCAATCTCATGGCGGCCGACACTGTCATCCTATTCGACTCCGACTGGAACCCCCAACAGGACCTCCAGGCCCAGGACCGCGCCCACCGCATCGGCCAGACACGACCGGTGATCGTGTACCGCCTAGCAACAAAGGGCACTGTTGAGCAGACGCTGCTCGAAAAAGCCGATTCGAAACGTCGTCTAGAGCGACTCGTCATCCAAAAGGGCAAGTTCAAGAGTCTTTTAGATCCCACCTCGCAGGATGATGTCGAGGATCTGAGAAAGGCTCTCGGGGAAGACGAGTTCGAGCGTTTCGAGGCCGGTACGGATCCCAGTCGTCTGCTGTCTGATAAGGATCTCGATATCCTGACGGATCGCAGCGAGGAGGCCTATGCTCGTGCTGAGAAGGGTCTGGATCACAGTGGACGGGCTTTCCTGGCCGTCGAGACGAAGAAAGATGGCCTTATGGCGCAGATTACTGGGAAGGGTTAGTTTGTAATTATAGTTGTAATAATAGCCATTTCTCTTTCACTTCGGCGGCTGTGACGGAGACTGGGATATATAATGGATTTGTACGAGGACCGTTTGTTCCGAATTGCGTAGATTGCACCCATCTATAGATATTCATTCTTGGTAAACATCAACCTTGATCACTCGGCGAGCGACCCCAAAATTATTATACTATACAAAACATCTTCTAACCATCAGACCTCAAACCAACACCACCTCACAGATAAATATAACAGAAAGGCCCACCAGTCGTATCCAACAACTCCCGAATAGTCTTGGGGGGCGCCAAAGCAGCACTCATATCCACGATATCATCCAACGTAGCATTCGGCGACGAGTCAACAATTCCAGGAAGCACAGTCGGTCCATTCACCACATAAGTGCGCTTCGCAGGGTCCTGGTTCTGCCAGGTCCAGAACGCCCGGTCAATCGCCGCATGGTGAAGGAAGAAAGCCGGGTCACCGGGGGAGGCAAAGAAGTCCTACAGCACATAGCATCAGCAACTGAACTCACATCGTATAAACCTGCAAAGAAAAAAAGAAAGAAGGAGAAGAAGAAGAAGAAGGAGAAGTAATCCAACGTACACCACCAGGATCACCACCAATGGTATAGTGGCCCCCGCTATGCAGACCGAGGAAGCCGCGCGGAAAGTCGCCCTGCATGGTCGTCTCGTAGTCCCAGATATCTGTTTCGTTGACGATCAGGTCCACGACCTGCTTGGTTGTGGTCCATTGCGCGGCCTGCTTGGAGATGTCTCGGCGGAGACAACGGGGGTTGTAGTTCAGGCCGGTGCCGTTCTGCGCCACGAGCCCTGGGATCTTGAGACTGGGCATGAGGGGGCCGAGGTTGACGGTGAAGCTTAGAAGTAGTTGTGTTAGTTGGGAAGTGATACGTTTTTTCATGGGGATTGGGGGTAGCAGCTGCTTAGTACATACTTCTTGAATGGGCCGGATTGAATACAGCCGCCTCCGTTTGAGGGCTTCAGGAAGATTCCCGGCGCGGCTTCGGTGGCATTGTGCGGGACGAACGAGCCGTCGCCTGACATGCTGTACTCCGAGCCGTCGAAAATAGGCGAGTTGACCGGGTCGTCGGCGTACTTGTTCCAGGCCCAGTATGGCTGGGAGCCGGTGTAGCCGCACTCGTTTCGCAGGGCTTGCTCGTAGGCCCAGGTGAAATAGCGGTGCCAGGTTAAGAAGTTGCCCTACTGGGGTCAGGGGGGCCGGGTCTTCTTTCAAGGTCTGCAGGGTCCTACCGTTGAATGGATGAACATCGTCTGGTTGATGTGCACCGCGACGAAATCATCGTAGCGGGAGCGAGCCCCAGGAGCGAAGGAGGGGTCGGACTTGGAAGGCTTAGAGGATAGACAGAGGACGGCATCGATGTACTCGCGGCGTTCCTTCTTGGATAGAGCTCCCCTGCAGTTCAGTTAGACATCGCATTTGCGTGTTAAGGAGTCCCAAGGGGCATACCATTCTCTGCGAGCCGACGCAGTATAAGGAGTACAGGTGCTGCTAGCTTCTGGATTTGTGTAGTGATACAGGATCTGGTTCCCTAGGGCTTTGGCAGCGAGGACATCCCACTGGTCCATGGAAGTGGGAGATGCTGTTGCTGGTGATAGGACAGCAAGAGCTGCGACGATTGGAATCCAGCTGCGCATGGTTATGTTCACCACCTCTGGGGACGGGCACTGGGATGGGGAGGAAGTGAGTGAGGAAGAAACTTGAGACTGGAGGGAACCGGTCAAGAGCTTTTTTATTACATCCTGGCTAGCTCTGGGTGAACTCTGGACGGAGTCGATAGTTTGACTCTAGATTGCTGGCTAGGACAGCCGGATATGCGGCCGCCAATTGAGGGCCCCAGAAAGTCATACGACTAGGGCTAGGACGGTATAGCACTTAGACGTGCACTATTTATCGCTTGGAGGCCTGGCGTGGAGAGTAAAAGCACCGAGACAGACATCGCTTTAGTGGGACGCGAGAGTCGGAATGCGGAAATTAGTAGAGATATAACAAATTAATGAGATAAAAAAGCCCGGGCCCAGATTGCCCATGGGGACGCTACACCATGACTTATACCGAGAAGTATGTCATGTCTTTGGCCCTGCCGGGCAACGGTAGAGAAGAACTACGGCAGTTAGAGTAGACTCCACAGCATATGTGACATCTTATTGTCTCTACATGGCAGATCACCAAAAAGAAGGAACGAGGGACATGCAAAGGAGTTTTCGGGGCAGATTCAGAAGTATTGAGGTTACAGTGGAGACCCAGTTGACACTTGGCTAGTGCGAACAGGGATCGCTTGAGCTTCATTTCGAATGTATTTAGCCGTCCATCTTCGAGGCTGATGTGGGCTGGATGTCTCAAAGGATCCTCCGATGCCAAGGCACTTGCTTCGTTTCAAAGATTGGCTAGTACGTTAGTTCGTTCAATCGACTTAGTCAAGACTCGTATAACCAAACCACTCTCCGTATAGTACATTGGCTGCAAAGTGGTAAAAGCGAGTCTCCTTCGCTGCTGAGCACTTCGTACTTGAGGCGTTTCGCTGCCGGTGGAAAAGATATCTTGAGCTTGGGAGCCATGCCCATCAAAATTAAATCCACACGCCCTCGTGCTCTACACTGGAAATCAATTTATATTGGGGCTTCCCGGGCTTCGTATAGCCTGCATTAGCGGGGGCTAAATGTAGATTACGCCACTACAACTTGGTTTAAGACCCCAACGGTTCAACGGACTAATTACTCCGTTCCTATCTTTCGTGCTTTATATTAAGATATATTAACAACTCACCATATTACCCGCTCGATGCTACCCTATCGGCTCACCTTCGGGGCATTTCCCTGCAGGCGCTACGAGAAGTAGTCCGTGGACCGATTACCCACTACTGAGTACCTACGGCTCAGGTATGACACCGTGCGCCGTGTGCCTTCTGCCCGAATCTTTACCCACAGCAAGCAGAACACTGACCATCTAGTAAATTAAACAGAAAAAGAAGAGACACAAATGGATTTGGAGATTGACTTAGAAGGTCTTCGTCTCTGTTAATATCATGTGGGAATAGAATAGCCAGACTCTCAGAACCTACCGCGGGAGAGTTAGGGCTTGCTTTATAAATGCTCCCTAGGGACGGCACACAGAATGACATTAGTCAATTCGCTTCTACTCGTGGACTATGTAGAATCCCTGCTCTTTATCCTTGCTAGTTTCAGTTTCATATTTAATGGGTAGCGGCGCAGACACCTTGCATTTACTAGACATAGGCTGGATTCCTTTAGTGGCTGGACATACTCCGTACGGAGGATCCGTTTGCGGCAATGCACGAACAGGCATAATCGCTTTCATTAAATTCCTACAAGCCGATGAAGCGCCGATCCTTAGGAAGAATTCAACTGGATTCATTCATCCGATCAAAATAAACGTACGCCCCTTGTATCTCCGAAATTCCGAATGTGTCCTGTATGTGTTGGACGCTAGTGCTTAGAGAGATAGCCCTATACAGGCTTAACTTAGAATACAGAGACTCAATTTTCTACGAGTAACTCAGACTACAGCGGTCATGGAGATTCCTCTTTGCCTCCATCGAGATCATGATTGATATCATGCATTCTAGCGGGGGTCTACTGCCGAGACAAACAGCAGCAGTCGCATCGGCAGATACCCCCAGCGACAGTCGAGCTCCACACATCCTGGCCATTATTGGATCCCTGACAGGTCTATCGGGCTTACTGGTCGCATTACGCTGCTACGTGCGACTCTTTGTCCTGCGGAAGTTCCTCCCAGACGATGGAGTAATCGTTGTATCCTTGGTAAGTGATACAACCCACCTTCACTGTCAACGACTTCTATACAACGGCTTTCCTAATCGAATAAGCACATAGTTATGCGCCTTCGGCGTCCTAGCATGCTTCGTTGGCGAGTCGCACCATGGAGTCGGTCTTTTCTCTGATGACATCAAGCCGGAAGATTTCCAGGTCCTCAGCGAGTATATGTTCTACCACGCCATCGTCATAGTGCTCGGTATAAGCCTGGTCAAAGTTTCATTGGCTCTCTTCTTGCTCCGGTTTGCATCACCAAATAAGAAGCTCAAACGGTTTATTGTCGGGGCGCTTGGTGCGTTTGGGTCGCTAGACATACCCTATATGTAACTGACAAGGAGCAGTGTTTCTTATTGTCTTTACCATAGCGTGCATCTTGACGTTGATCCTCCAGTGTCTTCCGGTCCGAGCGGCGTGGGATTTCTCATTAAGACAGAATGCCAGGTGCTACTCGATGAAGACTTATCTGGCAATTGGAGAATTCAACAGTGGTATGTTCCATCATCACACACATATACACCGTGAACGGGGAGGACCTAGCTCATAGCACTTGACTTCAGCAATCAACATCGCGACGGACTTTGTATTCGCAACCCTACCCGCGTTCATGTTCTACAAGGTGCAAGTCAATAAGCGCACCCGGGTCTCGTTGATGGGCATCCTCAGCCTTGGTTATTTGTAGGTGATCTCCGCTTCCTGAACCATGGCTATGCCTTCTAGCTAACCCAAGCGATCTGACAGCGCCTGCGCCGCCGGAATTGTGAAGACCGTTCTTCAGAGCCAACTCTTCGATGAGCCAGATCCGTATCGGTACGCTTCGACCATATATATCCCTGAGCGCGGTAGTGGTTGACAGAAAGCTAATGTTCTCAATCCTGCATTTTCGAAATCTAGCGAATGCCAATACCTCATTTGGAATTGGTATGTCTTTGCCCCTATCCAACCCGCAGCTCTCACACGATAGCACATAACCAACGTCCTTCATGATCCGTCAAAGGCTAACTGCTCGTAGTATCGAACTAAACGTTGGTATCATCGCTGCGTCATTCCCGACTATCAAGCCCCTCGTGAAATCCGTCATTGGGACCACGTTGAGTTTCACGAGCGGTGTGCGCAGTGGGAAACGCAACGGACAAGGATACCATGTGAGGTCTAGTTATATTATGCATTCGCTGCAGCAAAACCGGACCGTGAACGAAGACCAGAAGTATAGTGTTCAGATTGGAACCCTTGATGGGTCTGATAGGGGGAGTGAAGAGAACTTGACTCAGCGACCCCGTCGGGGGTCGCTGTCGAGGATAATACAGACTACGGAGGTGATTGTACACAGTGAGGAAAGTGCTGATCTAGGGGTTATGAGGATCGGGCCGGCGAGGACTGTCGATGACCGTGTATGAACTTTGTTTGTTCGTCTATTATACTGACTCTCGTTGGTGGAAAATTTGTGCTGTTTATTAGCATCAGGACGGGTCATATACTATACAGTTAATAGGCTTGCCTGGTATGTAATGCGACAGGGACTGGTGAATCCTCGAATTAATCAAATCATCAAAAAGCAAAGAACACATCCATTAAGCGCCTGAGCTCCTCGCCAGAGAAATGGCTGTACATCAAAGAAAAGGATCACGAAAGACCTCTCACAGGGAAATTAAGCAATACCAGGGAGTTGAAGGTACTCAAAAGTGTATTTCAGAAAGGGGAACATAGCAGAAAAGGAAAAGATCACTAACGTGACACCTTCTCTTCTTCGATCTGTCTTCGTATATCGGCGAGTACCTCGTTCCGGTTGGCAAGGTGGCTTTTAAGTCCATCCACCTGCTCGCCGACGGCTTTCACATCCTCCCTGAGCCGCTCGATGTCTTGGCCTTCCTTGGACCTTCCAGTGCCTTCCCTAAGTTCGCGAAGCTCACGCTCCTTGTACTCCAGGAGTTGAAGTGCCTCCTTTTTGATCAGGCCCCAGCTGGTCCTGCCATCGGTCCTGGGTTGATCCCTGCGCCCTTCGGAGGCTTCTTGTGCGGAATTCAGCTTGGTCTCCAGCTCCGCAAGCTCGCGCCTTAGCCGAACCTTCTCCCATTCCTCATCCTGAATAGTGTCGTTGAAGTTTGTGCCCTTGGGGGTATAGGACGATTTTCCCCCGGCACCCAACCGACTCAAATAGGTATCGCCAAATTTAGTCTTGCGACCAGTTGGTGTCTCTGTGTCTCCGTCCGCACCCCATTTCTGTGCCGGACGGGCATTATCGACCTGATAATCAATCTTGTTGTTTTCAAACGAGGCGCGGAGGGAAGCAGGAACGGTGCGGGGAATGCGGAAGCCCTCGTGTCGGTAGTTCAGTATATGCAGGAATGCTAGGGTGGCATCCTTATTAATTGTGTGGGATGCGGAGGGGTTGACCAAATTCCACGCAGAACGGACATCGGTGTCAGGGACATCGAGCGAATCGTAGAGTGGTTGTAATGATTGAACTGTACGAAAACATCTACGTATTAGTTCGGAACGCGAGCGGTTAAGGGATGCGGCCCCGCTTCGACGGGGAGCGCTGACGTACATGCGATTTCACCACGTTGGTTTCTGTTGGCATGGTATATCTCTTCGTATTTGGATTTGTCGGCGGGCTTCATGTACCATTCGAATCCATCTTTCAGTCCAGGAGTATCATCTTCATCCTCTATCCGTTCGAACTGTTCGGGTTGAGTGCTCAACGCCCGGGTTGCATGGACTAAATGAGACTTGGATTCAGGGACGAGCCAGTCGGGTAAAACGGCTGGAACAGTTTGTAATTCCTAATCGACACTGAACCTTAGCAGCAGCACTCAAAAGCTTTATGATGTGTGACAAAAACGCCGAAGAATCACAAGAAGGCATCGGGCAATAGGGGAGGTATCATACACCGTTGACCAGGTCGAACACTAATCGCATAGCGACACAAAACTCTTCGAAATCCAACTCCCCATCACCATCGACATCGGCCAAATCCCAGACCTTTTCCAGTTGCTCATCCCGAAGCCGACTGTTCCTGAGCACTGAGGCGGCCTGGGAGTTGTTCAGACGGGGCTGACCATTTGCTAATGAAGCGAAGATCTCCCAGTATCTTTCGATTTCCCATTGCTCAATTTTCTTATTTGACATGATGTGAGCGACTCGGTAGACCAGTAGGGACAATGCTGTTATTAAGAACCGAGCAATGAGAAGCGACTATAAAGGATGTTTGGCTGGAGATGCTCACGGGTCACTGAGTGGTTAACCGTTTCGGGCATCCCGCGGCGGGCCTCCCATGGGGCACTCGGATCATGTTAAATCCGGCAGGTGATATGCAGGGGAACAGGAACCGTTCAATTGCTCCATACTTCAGACCTACACCTGTAATAGCATGGGATCCACTATGTTCATAGAAAGTCATACTTACTCTGTATGTCAGCAATAAAGTCTTAATATGTATCATACAATTAACATAAAACCACCCCCAAGTCTATGTACCATATCCATAACCATCATCACCGACAATAGCAGCCATACTTGACTGTCCAAATTAAACACACGGACAGATGCATCATTAGTTACTCTATCTCTGAGTCGTTCACGACTCTTTTTCTTTTGGGTTGTTTTTCTTTTCGTCCTCGCCCGAGGACGAGTTATCCGCTCTCAACTTCTCCTCGACCTGGACAATAGCTCGTTCGGCTTCCAAAGCAAGCTCCGGTGCTTCAAGGATTGAAGCCAGTTTCTTAGCATCGTCCATCCGAAGCAGCAATTTGTCGTCACTTTTTTCCACGTCCTCTACCATACTTGAGATTGACTGTTCAATGTTAGATATTTCTAGCGCCCGTGAAACTCGCTTCGCATATAGCCGCTCCAATGCTGGGTGCGATATCGGATTCAGAAGGTCCTTCTCGACCAAGAATTCCAAGTGTTTAGATCCATTCCATGCTGGAATCAGTCAGCAACGCCGTTGCACGTAGGAAGGTGAAAGGAGCGCACCTCGCAAATGGGACCATCCTCGATACACAAGATAGAAGAAAGGAATGTTAGGTATCCTGTCGTTTCATCATTAGCTCGTCGTTTAGTTATACCAAGAAACTCTCTTTATCAAAATTTTCTAGGGAAGAGCTGAGCTTTCATACAATGGAATGAGCCCAATGGGAGCTGTAAATGGACTCGCGATGAAGCTCCACCACATTCTCTTTCGATGTAGGTCCTGCCTATCAGTAGCAATCTTGTGCAAGATAGACTTGAGCTTTTCAGTTTTGACCGCGTTTCCTGGGAAAAGCACGTCTATCTTCTGTGACCCATACGATTCATCAAGTCGTCGCTGAGCATTGAGCGAAGGAATACTCTTGAGCCCCCATTCTTCATAAGGAATCCGCTGTTGGACCTTATTTCCCCACACAACCAAATGTTTTTTCCAACCCTTCTCGGCTTCCTCCCATTCAGCCCATGTTTTGGCAGCTTTATTTGTGATTCGATCGAGTATGGAAAGCTCCTTTGCATGATCCCGACGGAGCGGTCGAGCATATATCAGGGCCCGTCTTGTCGAGATCGGAATGACGAAGAGTCGCATGGCAGCGTTTTGTCTTTGGATTTTCTCCTTTGTCCCTTTTTGGTGGTTTCGGGGAATTCAATTGAGGAACACAGGGGAATTGTTGAAAACGGCGAGGGAGTACACGGCTAGTGATCAACAAGAGAAAACAACCGATTCAAGGGAGCTTGTAAAAATAGCATTCCTTCTTCTAGAGTGAAATTAAGATTAGTTTTTATATAATTTTTCCCCCTTCTTCTTTAGGGTTTTTGCTCTCTTTTGCCCCTTGATGGGTATGACGGAGGCGAATAAAACAAGCTGACCTGGTGGAAGGTGGACGACGGTTGTTTGGTCGCGGGCGGTATTGAGAGACGTCATTCCGCACCCAGCGAAAAGATTAGTGCCGTAATTATCAACGGAACATTTCCCAAGAGGGATAAATTACTAGTACTTCTCTGGGTTTAGCAGCATTAAGCAACTATTACCACCCAGAATTGTTTCTCTCCCCCCCCCGTTCTTCCCCAGCCCCCCAAAGGCTGTAATTGCTGTGACCTTGCACTTTTTTGGGTTCCTATTCTAATCTAATGACCCGTTCCTCAAAAGGGTCATAAGCTTGCTCAGTTTCCAGAGAAACGCCGTGTTCTCGGAGCTGAGGGGGCTGTGAGGCGGCGATGCAGGCGAGATCCATTGTCTTCCCATAACTTTCCGACAGCCGAAGCAACCACATCTGAAACGACCCATTGGAGTAGAAGGCGATGGCACAGGATGCGCGCATTTTGCGCGCACTTCCTTCAGGTCCACACTCGGTCTTAGATTCTCAACTAAGCGAGAAATCAACCAAGACAGAATGGATGTCTGGAGCCATCAACCAGAACGAGCAGACGAATCATGACCAGTTTCCCGAACTTCCTCACAATGGCACGCTGGAATTGTCGCCCAATGTCTTACAGGCTCTAGAGGAAGCGTCAACGGAGGATGGCCAGGATCATGTCGTATTAGAAAAGAGAATGCGGACTCTTCCGGGTGCGTAGTATACTCGACAAACCCCAGCCATCTTTGGCGAAAGCTTTACTGATAACAGTTTATGCAATAGCTTGGATCGGATCTGTCGATTACAAGGAACCTGAGGGCGAATCTTCTGCTGCCTCACGACTACTACCTTCGCATCCCGATGATGCCGTTGTCGCCCAGCATAACCACTCACCCCATACGACTGCAAAAATAGATTTCGCCGGTCGAGGAACAAGCTTGGAAGAAGGGCGCGCGACATCGCCTCGTGAATCGCGTTGGAAGAATTTCTCCAAATCGATTGCCTACCCAAGGGACCCAGGTGCTGAGGAAAAACTTGTGACCCCCGAATGGATGAACGAAAACCACGGTGACTACTCGCAACCATGGCGCGGAAGACTTGAAGACTGGAGTGGGGAGGATACAGAAGATCCGCTGAGAAAGAAACGGCGGAGAGAGATTTGGTTCAAACGCCTCCATCATACCCTATTGAAGAGTCCTATAGTACCCTTGGTTTTTCGCCTAACGGTGTGGGTCTTTTCACTCACTGCGCTTGCGCTTGGAGCCTCCATTCAGCGCATGTCGCGTGCGTATGTGCATCCGCAGGGCCCCTCTGCACTAATGGCGATTATTGTTGACGCCGTAGCCCTGGTTTACCTGGTGTATATCACCTGGGATGAATATACTTCCAAACCGCTGGGCCTTCGTTCCCCCTCGGCCAAAGCACGGCTTGTCCTTCTCGACATTTTCTTCATTGTCTTTGACTCTGCCAACCTAAGTTTGGCCTTTGAGTCACTGTCCACAGTTAGTGGCGCATGTACCATCGGTGAGGTTAACCAGCAGGTCGCTCCTAAGAACAATGCAATCTGCGACCGCCAAATTGCGCTAGCCAGTGTGCTATTAATTGCTCTTTTGGCTTGGCTTACAACGTTCGCCATTAGTGTTTTAAGGTATATCCATCTATCCATTTACATCTCTCATTCTTTCTCCACAATGCACAGGACTAATTGCTTCGAACAGACTCGTAGATCGCGCTGCACAATGATAATCCTTTTGGCTTTTTATCATCTTATCTTGCGCTATCTACATATAGCCTTAAAAATAGTTTTTTGCTTCGCTCATTCATTCTAGGAGGCTCAGCTCAGGTCCCTCCTTTTTTTCTCTCTCTTTTTTCTTTTTACTTTTTTTTCCCTCACTTTCTCTTCTCGACGGTGGGTCTGCCGTCTCCATTTCTTCAACCAGCACTACGGAGTACTCCACTTTACTGATCTCACCTTATCCCTTTGTTTCTCACAATTTTTTTT